CAAAAATGTCTCACAAAGTGGAAAAAACATAAGTAAGTTGCTTTGCTGTATGGGTCGCATTTATTATGCGTCACCACTAACCCGTCGCGCTTATTATGCGTCATCGCTGAACCCCGGGAAACGTGGGCCGGTGTTGTGCCAAAAATCAATTGGCTGCCAAATGGCGGCCGTGGGAGTGAACATGGGAGGACTCGCGGTTGCAGTCCTTCTAAATTTAACAAGATTAACATTTAAAATCAATTAGTTGTTTGCTTGACATTATAGCAAAGGTGTGTCTCAGTTTAACTTTTCCTTAATAAATGCACTTTAATGGTCAAAACAACTTCATTTCATCTTGGCAGCGCGGCGTAATGAAGCTGCCCCGAAACTGTCCCCGCTCCACCACCGGAGCGGGGACGAAGGCTCGTGGCTCTACAGCATATGTGTCAAACTCAAGGCCCGAGGGCCAAATGTGGCCCTCGCTGACATCTTATCTGGCTCCCAAGATGTCATTTTAAATGTAAAACACTTTTATCACCTTAATTTTTTTCAGTAATCTTTGATTATGATGTCAAAAGTGCAACAGAGAACGTCGTATGAGGCCAATCAAACTCTTGTTGAGGAACCTGCAACCAAGAAAAGATGTTGGGTATCTAACTTGAGTTAATGTAGATTCTGAAACCGGCCCTTAGTTTGAAATACATTTTAATCTTGGCCTCCTTTTGTAAGTGAGTTTTACACCACTGCTCTACATCATGGGGGTGGGGGGGGAGGTTCCCTGTGAGGGGGATCCTCTGCCGCCAAAATCACCTTGTGTGTGTATGTGTATCTGGTTTGTGTAACCTTCTCTGGTATAATCACCTACCTTATCAGAGCCAATAGTTCTTATGGGAACCGGGGTCCAGTCCTGATAGAACGTCAGTATGGAGTTTGGGGTTGAGCTAGGGGCTATGGTGTGAATGAAGTTTAGTTTAGGGTTATGTGTGGGGCAATGGTTGGGTGAGGCTACAGAAACAAATGCAAGTTGATACTATGAAAAGGATAGTTATACTAATGTTTGTGTGTGTGAATTTGTCATATTAGCAAAATATCCCATGAACAACTGGATAGTTTTTAACAAAGTAATCACTGGATGGACTTCTACAGCTGATTCACTTTTGGAGTTAACCACATTCAAGATGGCTGCCACAACTAAATGATCTTAGAAAACACAAAAATGGCTGAACTCAGACAGCTTCACACATCTTTTAGTAAAATCTGGTGTAGTGGGAGACTAATTCACAACACGTAGTCTAAATGTGACACGTTGCTCAAGATCTTCACCTGAAACTTTGCCATTAACCATAGCCATCAATCCTGTTTATCTGTTAGCAAAACATCTCATAAACCACTGGTTGGATTTTAATGAAACGTTTAAGAAGTATTCATTGGGTGTACATATAGAACTGATATACAGTACTTCCTTTTCCTGCTGATTATCCATGCTGATCCATGCTGCTGATTATCCATGCTGATCCATGCTGCTGATTATCCATGCTGCTGAACTCTTGCCTCTAAACTGCTGTATTCATACCTACAGACATGTTCATGCTGCTGTTTAATATAATGTATTATTTTACATTATTAGTGTTTAGAGTATATCTTAGATCATACTGTTTCTTTTTATACTTTATATTTTTGCTATTTTGGGGTGTAACTGAGACCTTGAGTACACAGTTTTGTTCCACCTCATGTACCACATATGATGCGAACGACAATAAAGAACTTTGAACCCTTACTTATATAACAGTAGCTGAGAGTTTGCATGTAAAGTAGCATGACTTTATGGTAACTGAGTTGTCTTAATCAACAGTTTTTCAAGTTTTCTGAGTATTTCTTTTTGACTTTAGCTGCTTTTTCTCATTTTCCATTCAGTCTTTGTACCTGACGTGCATGTTGTGCAGCGTGTTAGTAGAGGGGTAAAGCAGAAGTGTTAAACCTGGATGAAAAGCTGTTACCAGGAGATGAACACGGGACCTGAGCGATGCACCGTCCTTCGGCTGATCGTAAACTGTATGCCAGGTTTTCAGCTTATAGCGCTTTATGATTCACCTTGTTAGGAACAAAAACGGTTGTATGCATCACTGTCTTCTTATATTTAGATTTTTAAAAAAGAGTGAGAGAACTCTGTTTGTGGCAGGCTGCTGGTGACAAAGTACCTGAAGATCTTGTTGAAAGTTGATTCTTTGGAGCCTGTACTTTATGTGTCGACACAAACGTTATCTCCACTTCACCTTTGGTGGAGGGTGATAACAATGATGCGAGAGCAGAGATTACTTCTAGAGGGGGGTTATCATCTCTTTGTGAATGATGGCAACAACACTTCACTCTTGTGTTTCAGTTTTTATTTTGGCTCAATTTATTTCTCACTTTTTTTTAAAGGGGTGGGGGGTGAAAGCAGCAGGAAAACAAATAGGAATGAAAACATCATGAACCCTGCAGAGAGGAGCCATTGTAGAAAATATGAAATGCAGCTCATGCTGCCACAGTCGGCGAAGTGATCACAGAGCTGATGCGTCTGTGATGACGGCGATTATAAAGCCGTCATGCCTTTTATTGCTTGTGTCTGTGCAGAAACACTGACAGATAATTTAGAGGTGATTCATGGAGACGGGAAGGGAGATCTGGGCTGAGCAGCATGAAAAACACCATTTACACATTCATTTGACTGCTTCGCTGCATTTATATTTATTTATCGTAGAGAACTCAACTATAAGGCTCTCTTGGGGGTTTGATGGTGTCTGAAGAATCATTTTTGTGTCAGTAATGTTGTTTCATGGAAATAAAGACAAATCTAGTGGATGCTTTTCAGTTGGGAGAATCTATTGTTTGAGACATTCAGTTGTGCATGGTGCCCGAGAGATTTTTTTTTTTTTTGGGGGGGGGGGGGGGGGCAGATGACTGATAACCCAGCTGGTTGTGCATTCACAGTGTTGTTCCATCCATCCATTATCTTTACCCGCTTCTTCCATTTTGGGTCACGGGGGTCGCCGGTGCTCATATCCAGCAGGCACTGTGCGAGAGGTGGGGGACATTCTGGACAGGTCTCCAGTCCATCACAGGGACACACAGAGACAAACGAGACAAACAACCATTCACTCTCTCACTCACACCTATGGACAATTTAGAGTTACCAATCAGCCTAACATGCATGTTTTTGGTCTGTGGGAGAAATCCCACACATGCACAGAGGGAACATGCAAACTCCACCCAGAAAGGCCCCGGGACAGGATTTGAACCGGCGACCTTCTCGCTGAGGGGCAACAGCTCTACTATCTGAGCCACTTCCTTTGAATTTTTCACAATCTAACAACTTTTGCTTTTGAGTCATTAGTGAATAAAAATATTCAGGAGGTGTGCAAGGACTTTTGGTTGTTGTAACTTTTATATTTTCTAAATATTTAGCTATTTATATAAAAAAAAAAATTCTGATGATAATAAAACAACAAAAAGTCTTAAACTCTTTCAAAAACGCTCATATGCATACTTGCTCTTTTGTCCTTAATTTTCTTCTACCTTTAGATAGGGGAAAATGACTTGCAGTGGTGACCCCTGAAAAAGGAACAGCTGGATCAATAAGAAATACATATAAATAAAACAGCCTGTTCACTCCAGCATGTTAGCAGCACATGTTAGTTTGCACATAACATGTTAAAATGAACTTGAATTCATTTGCAATATTTGTTATGAAAATAAAATTTCAGCCTGAGTCTTAAATATGAATAAAAATGTTGTAAACAAATAGCTGGCCACACATTGGTTTAAAATCTGTTCTGAGAGCAGGAAAACACTGATTTTATACAGTGTCAACATGTTCACGTGTTCTCTCAGTCTACTTTTAATTCATGTGCAATAAAATAAAACCTGTAGAAGAACAGTATAAGAATATGCTAACATGCCTTTAATATAATCATTATTAAGCAATATGTGATATTCATTTGGCAGCAGAAGTAATAGTAATTGAATTTTTCTTGTTTTTTCCCCTCCTGTTGTTTATTTATGTGTCAGTTTATCTGACTGTCTTTTTTGCATTTTTGATGTGCATATCTGTGCATGAGGCTGCAATTAGCTGCAAACCAGTGCACTCTTGTTGAGAAATACATCAGTGGTCAAAGATTTCCCCTGAGATGCTGGTGCAGGTCACACAGGCTGTAAAGACTAATTAAATGGAGGAGGAAGGTTTAAATTAGGCGTCAGAGTGGAATGATACAAGCAGCAGACACAGGCTGAATGCAGAAGAAAATAAAGCCTGTGTTGAAAAGAGACGGAGTTGTAGCTGTTTTCAAATCAAGAACAACATTCTTTGCCGGCCCACATGATGTCACTCTATCCATTAGCACTCAGAAAACACGTTGAGGGACTATCCTCAGCTACTACACTGAACATATTAGCTCAATAGCTTAAAATGGACAAAGTTACAGCCAATCTTTTGTTTGTTAAAGTTGAATGGGGTTAACTCAAAAGTTAATCAGCTGTAGACGTACATCAGATGATTACTTTGAGAAAGTTTCATTAAAATTCATCCAGTAGTTCATGAGATATTTTGCTAACACAGAGAAAAGGTTAATTCCAACAGCTTATGACAAATTTTAAGCAAAAATGTTACACAAAGTATATATTGGGGATGACTCTCAGCTACTTCCACACCAAGTCTGAACTTAGTATCTGACAGACTCACAGATATACCAGTAGATATTTTTGTGTTTGCTAATGTCAGTTGGCTGTAGCAGCCATCTTGAATCAAGTTATATAAGATATATGTTGTTATCAGACATACAAACCAACACATGCACACACAGACATGGGCAATTACATGATCACACTTCTGCTTTTCTATGGTGAGCAATAAATATACAGATAATGGGTGCTATTTATAAAAGTGTGTGTTTTTACCATAAAGACAATAGAAACAGGAGTTGTTGCATGTGTTGTGGGTAATTTGCAGAACAATAATTGTTTTCTGAATGACGATGCATCTTTACCTTCGGGACAGTAGCACCGGGGTCCTGCCAGGCTGCTGAAGCAGGTGGCTCCATGTCTGCAGGGCTCAGAGAGGCAGTGGTCAACCTGCAGCTGGCAGCGCTCCCCCTCATAACCTGCACACACACCAGAATATCTGAGCAAAATACCAACCAGTTTGGGTATTTTGGATGTTTGTATCAGCTATAATAAATGTCTACTCTCAAATGACCAACACTGCTGTGCAAAAGTCTTGAGTCATCCCTAGTTGTTTAATATTTCGCTTTCATTGAGCCAAACCTTTTTGTAATCAAGGTTCAAGGTTCTTTATTATCATTCGCATCACATGTGGTACATGAGGTGGAACAAAACTGTGTTTTCAAGGTCCCAGTTACATCCAAAAATAGCATAAATATAAAGTATAAAACAAGAAGCAGTATACACGGATCTAATATATATTCTTGTAGTGATATGGGGCTGGATATAAATTGTTAATTATCACTTTTTAAACAATAATAAACAGCAGCCTGAACATGAGTCTCTTATGAGCAGATGGGTATGAATATAGAAGCTTAAAATCAGTGGTCTTGGTTATGAGTTTGTTGGATTTTCTGAAGGTCTTTCAAAAGTTGAACTTAAACTTTGGCTCATTTTTGGCTCATTTTCAGTCTGGTACTAAAAAGTCACTGAAAGGCATCTTGAACCAACTTATAAGCCAAAGTGTTATCAAATATGTTGCACAATCTACGAGTGCTCAGAGTATGTGTTGGGAATATCACGCAGATACTTCCAAATCAAAGAGCAAATGCTGTATCTGCAAAATTTACTGAGTTATAAGCAATCTTGTGTGTTCGAAGAGACTGTGGGGGCCATATTAAATCAAGTTAGCCCCAAAAGATAACTATTTCCAATTAACTCTTCCTGAAAGTTTCATTAAAATTTGTCAAGGGATTCACGAGACATTTTGCTAACAAGCAGACCTGTTGACTTCTGTGGTTAATGGCAAAGTTTTAGGAACAGATCTTGTTTTTTTTCTGACTTGCTCTCGATGAAGACGGACACTTTCTTTCCCTCTTCTGTCTCCCTCCTTCTTTTGCTCTTGTCCTGTGAATCTCTCAGAGTCTCTCTTTACATATCTTCCAAATCGTAACTTATTATGGATCTGGTCAGCTGGTCTCTCAACACAATTGATACAATTTTCTCGACGAGGAGACAGGGTGAAGGAGAACCCTCATGCCCTGAAGGGACACATGCAGCTGGATATATCATAGATTCCTGGGGTGTATGGAAGATGATGTGCCTGTCTGTATTGTCCGTTGAGGACATTGAAGACACGTAGATAATTGAATTTATGATAACAGGGTTTCTGCTTTTTGGAATCGGCGAGTACCTGGGATATCAGAAAATTAGGAAGACGTCGGCAGCAGTTTTGGCGATGGTGAGGCTGCCTGCCTTATAAGAAAGATTGCACCGTGCTTCGAGTGCTCAGACTCAGATGCATTGCGAGCTAAATCGTAGGCTGGACACAATTTTTGATAATCGCAGGCCACTTGTGGCTCCTAGAACTCGCTGGCATGAAAGAATCTACCTTGGAGAAGGCTACAAGCATGAACTGGTGGAATGACCACAAATATGGCTGTTTGGATTCACCATCGAGTGTACCAGCAGAAACTATGAAGGCAGACATGAAATCAGTAGAGTCAGCCAGTCCCCAAACAATCGATGTTTATCTGAAACTGGCTCCCCCGTTTGGCCTTGATAAGGCCAACTTATCACAAATTGCTCCTGGAGGATATGTAAATCATGAAGCTCTGCTCGCCGTGAGCACAAACCCACCTGGCTGACAGGTGCACGTGAAATTGTTCCCTTCTCCTCCTTGTCTGACATCAGCACAGGTGCCGTTGTTGCGGCAGGGTCTGCGGTGGCAGGCGTCAAACTCCTCACAAAAAATCCCCGTGAAGCCGTCCTCACACTCGCAGAAGAAGGTGCTCTGCAGGTAAGAATCGCACACGGGGTTCGCAGAATTCAGTGCAACAACATCAGAAAAAAAAAAGGGCGGGGGGGTGAAACTGAAATGATGAGTTTGATGGCTGTAAAGGAATTCAGTGACAGGACACGTCGCTTACAAGAATCTGTGGCACATTCTAATTTTCTCATCTAACAGATGCGTTATCGTCAAAAACTGAAGAAGAAAAACATGTTTATTTAAATCACGACCTGCTTAAAGACACAGAACACGGTCCTCATCTGATAAAGATATTTATTAACCTTTAGGGCTTGCTCATTAGCTTTACCTTCAGGGGTATAAAACCCAAATCCTTTTATAAACATGGGCATTAAACTTTTTTTATTGTTCATTTTCTGTTAATTGGAATTTAAATAAGATTTCCCACTATATGTATGAATGTATGTATGTAAGTATGTATATATGTATGTATGTATATATATATATATATATATATATATATATATATGTGCAGAAGTGAAGTTTCAACTTGATCTGCTACATAGAATTTTTTACCAATTTACATTTTATAATAAACTTTTAAAAAAGTGCTTTGATTTGAACTTGTTACATCTTTGTATGCTGCCCTGACATGACTTTAGTCATGTATCTCATGCATCAACAATACTTAGAACTGGATTAAGCTTGTCTTTTCTGCATCTGTGTGTGTTTTTGAGGTATAAAGCCAAATAATGATAAAAGCAAAGCAAATAGAAAAGTGTAACAAACAGACACAATTTTGAAATACTGACAGTTTCCAATTACACAATTAACATTTTAGAATACTGCATTGCCAAATTTGTACTTGTAATTTACACTCTTTTTAAATGCAAAGTAAAACAGTTGTTTCAAACAGTTTATTTCGATTTCAAAGTGGTGTCCATGAAAATTACTTTTTGGACATTTTTAAATGTGCTTCATTACTTCCTTTAATACCTTTTTTATCTTTACCCTGCATAGAATAAACTTAACTTATTTAAAAAAATAAAATAAATACAGGCACTGTACTTTTTGGCAACATTAACAGTCAAAGCAGCACTCAGTTCTCATAAAATATTATTAATTACGATTCAAGTTTAAATACGTAAAAAAAATCAAGGTTGAACACCTGTCTGAATGTGAAAACTAATGTATTTCACCTTTGTGGTTTAAAATTTGCACTGTGCTGTCCTTGTATGTGTAGTCTAGAACTATACAGTCAAAAACAGTCAGTTATATATTTGATTTACTTTTGTAACAGTTTAATTGACTAGTCATAAATTTCTGTCATGGATCTGTTCAGCTGGACTTTCAATGCAATTGATAAAAAATGTTCAACCAAGCGACAAGGTCCTGGAGAACCCTCATGCCCCGCTGAGACGCAAGCGGCAGGGTATGTCATGGGTCCGTGAGGAGATTGGAAGTTGATGTGCCTTTCCGTATTGTCTCGGGAGTACACGGAAGATGTTTATATCGTTGAAATCATGACAGCTGGTTTCTGCTTTTTGGCATCGGTGGATTCCTATGTTACCGGCTATTAAAGAAGTTGGTGGCAGCAGTTTTTGCCATGGCAAAGCTGCTGAGCGTATGTGAAGGTTGGGCTTGTGCTCCGAGCACTCAAAATCAGCTGATTTACGAGCTCAACCGTAAAACGGAAGCAATTTGTGAGAATCGCAGGCCACTTGCAGCTTCTGGGACTCGCCAGCATGTTGTGGACGACCTTAGAGGGAGCTAATAAGCACGGACCAGTGGAATGCCCACAGATCTGGCCATTTTAGATCATTGAAAGTACCAGCAGAACTCAAGGCTGACAAGAAACAACAGTCGGCCTGAAAAGAAATCAACAACTGTGGCTTATCTGAATCTGACTCCCCTGTTAGTCCTTGAAGCAGGCCAACTTATCAAATTTCTCCTCTTGGGATATGTGTAAACTAAGGAAGGCTCTGCTTTATCCACTACCCCCGAGAACTTCTGTGAACGCTCATCAGAGCTGTATCGACTGACACCAACATCTTATCAGGACTATGGTCTATCTGGAAGTGCTTCATGGACAAATCTCACTGTCTTGTTGTCAAATGCATATGTAATGTGTTTATAAATGTGTTTTTTTGTAGAGTTTTTTTAAATGTCTTGAATCGTGTCCTGATAAGGACAAGGTATGAAGAGATCTTTTTTTTAAATATCTTATCCTCATGGTCTTTCCTCTTTTCTAATTAAAGAATAAGGGGCGGCACTCCGCCGATCTTTCGGACGACTGTCCCAACATAACCTCACTGTTCTGTACTATGTTGGGAATCCAATAAACTGATGATAAATGGTGGGAAATAACATAATATGGATTAGTGAATATAAGGTTTAATTATGAATTATGGAAAATATATCATATAAAGATTGCTAGAATTTCTGTTAGATGTGGCCATAAGCCAATAAATAAAATATTTTCAAGGACTGCTAACTTTAAAATCAAACCATGACACTGTCTGATGTCAGTAGGAAAATAGTGACTTATTTCTAATGAGGCCTTTAATGACAAACAAAACATCAAAAAAGTTCTTTCTCAGGTAACTGACGTTAAATTATAGTTCACATCATTTGAGTATGTGTGGGAATTATAAAATAAGTAATGATGAGTAGCTTAATAGGTCAGAATGACTTTTGTAAGACTTGATAATGTAACAAGTTGCCGAGGGGATAATCAGAGTCTCGCAGTCTTTGTAAGATTATGTGTGGCTTGGTGCTGATTATGGGTCATATACTCAGTGGAAAGAGAGGACAGCTAATGTGTGTCTGATAGATCAGACAGGGACTTCAGAGAGTCTGTAAGGTGTTTATTGGACAGGAATTGAAAACAAGAAATGTCACTGGGTGGAGAAAACAGTCTATAAATGTTGGAAGAAACTTGAGACACGTGAGAACTGTACAGAGGGTCCCTCGATGTCAGGTAATATTTATATTTATACAATTCTCTCTTGTTCACGCATTTTGAAGTCTGTAAGAATAAAGATGTTTAATTCTGACACAAACGTGTGTTCCTTCCAAGCAAACGATCCGGGCAGGGGAGAGGAGTAGAGAACTTTGTTTCCCTTTACAACTACGGTGCAGTGATAATAAAGCTTATTCTGATTCTGATTTTGTGTTGTAAGTATCGGGTCAAGTTGATAAAAAGGGTTTGAATTAGAATTCGCTCACCTCCGAGGGCTGCGTGACACATTTTCCTTTCCCAGAACACTGAGGGTCACTGAAGCTGCTGCCGGGCTCCACGCAGCTGCTGGCCTTCACCGTCAGGTTGAGACGCAGGGTGACCTCGGGGGCTGTGGGGGTGCCCACACGCATCACACCTACAACACGAGAGGGAGGGGAAGTTTTTTATGTACGTTTATATTTATATGTGGTCATGTAAGTTGTCGCTCTTCTAAAAACAAAGGTTTTTGTCATGAAGTGTTGGACAGAAGAAGTGGTTGAGCTTCATAGTTGTAAAATACAGTGTGTTTATGTGCTGCCTCACCCTGGATCTTTAAAATACATGTTTCTTTTTTTAAATGTTGTCAGTCCCGCTTGAAAGGTCCACCAGGCTGGTTTTAGGACCCTGATTTGAGCCCAACAGTGAAGACAGCAATGACGTAAACTTGCCGACCAATCAAAGCAGTTGAGTCGTTTATTCCCTTGATTAAATCATCATCTCCCCAGTGACATCAAAAGTCGGACCTGCAGAGTCATTGCTCTTTCAGACATTGAAAGTAAATGGCTAAGAAAAGAAAACACAGCAAACTGATCACAGGAGGTTGCTCTTTTTGCAAATATTCATCGTGCTTGATTGAGCTGAAACCTTCCCAACAAAATAATCTGCCTCACAATTTGACCTTTGTTTTTCCTCTTCTTCTGCGTCCTTTGTCTCTCCGTCCTTCCCTCTAATCCCGTCCTGCCTTCTCATTTCTTCTTCACCATCCCCGCTTTATCTACCTCACCCCAGCCCCATCTCTCTCTCGTCCTCCCACCCTAAATTATTCTTTCTCCTTCTAGTTTAACTCACCAATGTCATTCCCTTTGTAATGCAGCTGCCACAGTGGTAAAACAGATGAAGGTCAGCAGTCAGACAGGAAGTTTGTAAAAACAGCTTCAGGTATGGAGCACAGACAAAAAGGTTAATGACATCCCCGCATGCCCACCCCTGAACGTGATACAGCTCATACAGTCGTCTCTGGCACTTGTGACGTAAATGCACAGTCTGAGGCTCAAATACAGATTAAATATCTGCAAAAAATGTGGCCAAAAATACTAAACATATATTTCTGACACACAGAGATGCAACTGTTCAATTCTCTTTCCACATGCGTGAGAAGAATGAATGAAGTTGGTATCAGTACACAGTGGTATCAGTACATGGTGTAGCTCGATTAGTACTTTGTACCTGGTACTTACCTAGGGCATACTATACTAAATAAGTACCAGGTATGTATCTTGTAAGTATTGAGTACATACCTATTAAGTAGTTGGTATCTACCAGGTAAACACCAAATAAATATACATTACTTAAATACCAGTGCATACCAGGTATGTACCCTGTACCCTGGAAAGTATGCACCAGGTGTATACTCAGTGCTAGCTACCTAGTATTTTAATGTATGTCTGTTATGTTACCTGTTACAAACAGGTGCATGCACAATGTAACAGGTATTTACCAGATAAGTATATTGCACGTACAGGTACGCAGAAAAATGTTAGCAAGGGTTCTGGACTGGTGAGGCAAAGATTTAAATATTTGACTTCAGCAGAGAGCAGTTTGCCAAAGAAGTGTAGAGTAATACAACAATGAGTGTGTACAGACAGAAATGTATCTTGGTGGAGAATCCTTACAAGGGTCCTTGAAAGAAACCTTGTAAAAGGCGGTTCCTTGGGAATGTTCCTTGGAATTGCAGATGGGGACTTGGTTTGAACTGAGAGTGTCCTCAGTGCAAATAAAATACAAGCCAAAACTTCTCTATCATGAGGCACCCTCTGGGAGGATGACTGTCTCCATACTTATCCTGCATCAGGAATCTGAACCCAAACACACAACCAATGTCATCAAGAACCATTTTTTAGTGTGATAAAGGACAAGGAGTCTTGACAGTGAAGGGATCGCTCACACTTTGCTCTGACTTCGACGTCATTAATATCTCTGGGCTCACTTGAAGAGATAAAAGAATGGGAGCAGAAACTTCCACAGGAAGACCTGTGGATTGTTCTTCAAGAAGTCTGAAGCAACATATCTGATGAGTTCCTCCAAAAAAATGTCAACAAGTGTGTGGAGAAAAAAAACCCGATACTGTTCAGATCATGTCAAATATTGTTTTGATAGATTTTCTTTTGTTACCACACTTTTTAATGCTAATGGACATTTTTGGTTCTTTGTGTTTTTTGTAAAGTCTAGTTTATTTCGCAACTGCCTTAAACCTTTTTACAGTGCTATACAGATGTCTTACTTTCAAAATAAAACTTTCATAAGGAATTAAATGCTCCGTGTCAACCAATGACTACAGTGACTGCAGCCATTCTGTAGTAGATTGCACATTTTGCTCTTTTTACTTATAAAATAGAGGCTCACTGAGGAAGTAGTTCTGTCCCAGAGGCAGCAGCTTGTCTGGCACCACCAGTCCATCAGGGGCCTGCAGAAACCACATGGTGGTGCCGTTCAGAATTGAGGAGCGGAGGAAACCATCCTCACTCACGCACCACAGCACCGGTGCTCCGCTGGCGTTCACCACCACCCTGCAGGGATGGAATCGACAACATAAACAAGGGAGATAAGTCATCAAGGAGATGAAACAGTAGAAAGGTAAAGTAAATAGAAACTAAAAATTTTTTTAATCATGGGTTTTGCAAAAATATTAGCTCGAAACAAGTTTATTCTCATTATGATCCACATTTTCTACCCAGTTGTATTTTCAGCTTACGCAGCAGATTTGCAGCCATCAGAGTGTGAATAATGGATTATACTGAAGCAAAAACAGTGAATATAATAACTGCTAGATGTGCATTCCTCATACCCACTTATTATTTTGAATATCTAGTGCTACTATCCCCTGAGGAATGAGTTTGAACCGTTGTGTGCTATTGTAACCTCTACACCTCCATTTTAGCCAGTTGTTTCAAGCCAATCGACAGAGATGGTTCAGAATTTGGAGTGTTTTGCGCAAAGACTGGAAACAATAATAATAATCTTTTGTTGAGATAGCTTTTTCATTGTTCTCAGTTTGATGAAATAATTTGTTTCAGATGAGCTAGTTTATCACCAAAGTATATTGTTGCTTTACAGAAACATTTATAGCAGATTATCCAAACACTACTTTAAAAAACTTTACATCACCACCATTTTTGCATTACAGTACTAGGATTTTCCAGCAAAGAAAAATGTGATATTTCTGTTCAAAATGACCCAGATTATCTTAAGGAAATAGCTGTAATTTTATTTTTCAAATCCATTTTCTTGTGTTGTTTTTGTTTTAGGGGAATTTATTTGCAGATTTATGTTTTTGTCATTTATTTCGGTGTTATCCTTTCTTTTCTTTTTATAGATGTTTTGTGTGTTTGCTGCACTGGTTGGGCTCTGCCTGATGATAAACGTCTTCTATTTTTTGTAAAAAAAAAAAAAAACAATAAATTTAAACAAGCCATAAGATGAGAAGGTAAAATGTCAGTTTGTCTCTGCATATTCTCTACCTAGAAATGTTATTCTTGTCATGTTATTCCCTTTTTTATTTTACTCTAAACAAGCCTTGAGAGTAGAAAATTCATGTATTTGACCTGACGGTTTATTAAATATAGAAAAAATTATCTTTTTACACTAATTTGGACTACTGTAATTTCCAGACTACTAAGGGCACCCAACTATAAGCCGCGCCCACTTGAAAAAAGTTCATATATAGGCTTCCCCTATATTTCCATCCATCCATCCATTATCTTTTACCCGCTTCTTCCATTTTGGGTCATGGGAGTCGCCAGTGCCCATGTCCAGCAATCACTGTGCGAGGGGCGGGGTACACCCTGGACGGGTTGCAAGTCCATCACAGGGACACATAGAGACAAACGAGACAAACAACCATTCACTCTCTCACTCACACCTAGGGACAATTTAGAGTTACCAATCAGACTAACATGTCTGGTTTGGTCTGTGGGAGGAAACCGGAGTACCTGGAGAAAACCCACGCATGCACGGAGAGAACATGCAAACCACCAAGAAAAGCCACTGGCCAGGATTTGAACCAGCAACCTTGTGAGAGGCAACAGCTCTACCAACTGTGCCAGCCTGTCGCCCCGACCTGGATCTGCTCACAGACAACCTTCACGTAAGACCGACGGTGACACAGAGTTTATCCGGTTGGCTGTGAGGAAGATGCTCTGCAGCTTCCGTGTGTAGACCTTAAATGACATAGAAAGCCCCTCCAACCCAACTCCCACTCAGAATTAATTTTTCCCACATTACCTAAAACAAATAAAACAACCAGTTATTATCCTCTCACCTCTTGCTGCTGTGCATTTGTTCTAATGAGTAATTACACACTAAAAGCACCGTGAGCTGAACAGTACTTCATGTGGCTGAATGGACCTTACAGAGGAAACGAGGACTAATAATGGGAGATCGTTTTGTTTTTGACCCAACAAAATCAAATAGCTGGCCTCAGAAAGTAATGGTTTGCCATGAGATTTTGATAGAAATAAAAAGATGGTCGCTACATTTGCCCACTTGCAGTAGCGGATCACAGGTGGATCGATGCGTCCAAAAGTGCTGCAGTGAAGAGAGAGTGAAGCCTGAAGCTGAGACTGTGAGTGAAATATTAATCTGCTGGTTTGGCTACTTGAAGCTGAAAGGAGTTTTCTTTGGGAGGACTTCAGCTCCTTCTCTAAAGGAGCCGTGTGGCGTGTCTGTAATTGGCTTGTGTTTTATTTATGTTGGGCTTTGATTTATGGATCGTTCTGGATTGATCGCTCTCTTGTGTCTCACCCTCTTCAACCTCATAACTTATGTGAGCGTTTCTAAACAGATGTCACTTGTGGATCACTTCAGTGCCACCGTGGTGCTGCATGTGGGTTTGTCTCCTGCGCGAGCTGCATGTCAGTGTGCGTTCAGGTACTGTGTGTAATTATACAGTGTGAAAACAAAGCAGCGGAGGCTGATGAACACGCAGCTCGTAGCTCCTTGTCTGCCATCGTCACCGGAGCGCTGCCGTGCCACTCATCCATAATGAGAACAGCTTCAAGGGCGTCCAACATTGACCTTGTTCGTGTATGCATAATTCATTGACTCCTATTTACAAGCAACTGTGGCACTGTTTTAGAACAACGCGGCTCTTAGAATAAAACTTACAGGGAATCATTCTCACCAGCACCTTTTTATGACAGAGCATTGAACTAAAATCATATGAAGAGAGTTGTTTTAGTCAAACTTTGTAAATTACACATGAACTCGTGAGACATTGAAGATCTCACAAGATCTGTTAGCACTTTAAGAGAATGGGAGCAAGATTACTCTCTGCTACTGCTACACTAACTTTCAACCAAATATCTGTAAATGTGAAAGGTGATTTTTATGAAACTTCTCTGGTAGTACAGGCTTGGTGTTTAGTATCTTTCCAAACTGAAACTTAATAATCAGCGAGGGTTAATGTGTGTTTTTACTGTTCCCCACAATGAAAGGACCACACTCAGTGGTAATTATGTCACAACTATTCACTGAGAATGTAACTGGAAGAGAAACGAAGAGGACTGAAAGTCAGTTGTTGTAAGAGGCCGGTGGAACAGTGAGGCCACAAGGAGCAGAGGTCACAAAGGTGCAGGACTTCAAGGACTGGGGTCCACTGTCCAGGAAAACAGGGAGTGTGGTAAAGAGGTGAAGAAGAGAGTCCAGGCAGGATGGAGTAGATGGAGAAAAGTTTCAGGAGGGATTTGTGACCAAAGGGTGCCAGCAAAGGTCAAAAGTCAAGTTTGCAAGACAGTGGTGAGACCAGCTGTATCATATGGTCTGGAGACAGAGACATGGACACAAAGACAGGAGACAGAACTGGAAGTGGCAGAAATGAAGATGTTGAGGTTCTCCTTACAAGTGACAAGAATGGATAAGATTAGGAATGAGATCATCAGAGGTACAGCACTGGTTGAACAACTGGGAGATAAAGTTAGAGAGACCAGATTGAGATGGTTTGAACATGTCCAGAGGAGGGACAGTGGGTATACTGGTAGAAGTATGTTAGAAATGCAGCTGCCAGGAAAAACACAAAGAGGAGAAATATGGATGCAGTTAGAGAGGACATGGAGGTAGATGGAGTGAGGACAGAGGATGCAGAGGACAGAGATGGAGGAGGATAACTTGCTGTGGAGACCCTGAAGAGGGAACAGCTGAAAGAAGAAGACTTTCTGGAATGATTGACATAAAAAATTAGCTTTTTCACAATATTTTAATTTTTTAGATGTACAAGGTTGGGTTTGGTACAACTGAGTTGTATTTTGTTTAAGAGGTGCCCGTTGTCTCCATAGTTGTGGGTTCAGGGCATTGCATTGTGGGACACGGTGAAGTAGACTGGTCTGTGTTTAGCTGAAGAATTTTGTCCATTTATGGATTGTGGCACTGAGAGTTCGGCTTTTTTGGACTTTTACATTACAGGGTCTACTTCTTGGGCAGCACGGTGGCGCAACTGGTAGAGCTGCTGCCTCTCAGCGAGCAGGTCCCTGGTTCAAACCCCGGTCCAGGGGCCTTTCTGGGTGGAGTTTGCATGTTCTCTCTGTGCATGCGTGGGTTTTCTCCGGGTGCTCCGGTTTCCTCCCACAGACCAAAAACATGCATGTTAGGCTGACTGGTAACTCTAAGTGTCCCTAGGTGTGAGTGAGAGAGTGAATGGTTGTTTGTCTCGTTTGTCTCTATGTGGCCCTGTGATGGACTTGCGACCCGTCCAGGGTGTACCCCGCCCCTCGCACAGTGATTGCTGGACATGGGCACCAGCGACCCCCGTGACCCAAAATGGAACAAGCGGGTAAAGATAATGGATGGATGGATGGTCTACTTCTTGCTTTTGAATTCAGGAACACTGATTTGAAGATAGAATAGAAAACTGCCCAAAGACCTCAGTTTCTCAAAATGAGTGATAAGAGGTCAGCAGTCATGCAGGGGTTCTAGTTCAAATCATTTTGAGTTTATGCTCCTGAGTGAATCCAATCAAATCACTACAAACTTTCTGACTTGCTGCAAACAGCCACTGAAAAGTTTTTGTTTGGTTTTTGAACCCACGGGGAAATGTTAATCAGTCGTTTCCAAAATCGATTTAACGAAATAAACTGTGTGAAACCAGGCAAAGAGTTCATTTTTCCTCCATCGCTGCATGAAGAGGATGGTTCTGAATGTGTTCTTACTTCACAGCAGTCTCTTCAGGCACCTCCACGGACAGAGTGAGCGTTCCTGATGTCAGCTCACACAGCTCAGGGCTCACACAGTGCAGACCCTCCATCACCTGAAACCCACACATCATCACACAGCATGAGCTCCTCACACATTTGGAGGATAAATTCACCACAGTTTAGATTTCCTGGAGAAGTTCTCACTCTGTCTGCCTCCCATGGTACGACAAGCAGCCTCTGTCCCGGTTTAGGTTGCCACGGCTGCAGGGTTGGAGGTGCCGGTGTGGTTGTGGTTGTTGGGACTGTGGTTGGTGGCTGTGGCTGAGTGGTGGCTGTTGTCGTGGAAGTTGCTGGGGTTGCTGGTTCGGGAGCAGAGGGGGTGGCAGGGTCCCAGTCAGCGGGCGGCAGGTCTAATAGGATCTGATCACACCTCTCTCCCTCGTAGCCTTCGGTGCACTCGCACATGTACGCCGACTCCCCGTCCTCCCCACCATCGCTCCGGCTGCAGTTACCATGGAGACAGGGGCTGCTGGCACAGGGGTCCATGAAAAACTGAGATAATGAAGGAAACAGACAACAGAAAACACATAAACAGAGAAAACAAGGAAGAGTCAGAGAAGGAAAACGTTTTTTTTTTTACTTTATCTCTCTTGTCCTCAACGTTTTCTCTGACTTATCTGACACATGACAGTTTTTAGAGTGAAAACACAAAATGTCAAGAAGCACAACACTTTAAGAGAGTTTATTATGGAAGAATGCAAAACTGCCCTTTGCAGTTTTTTTTCTTCTTATATGCATCTATTAAATGAATTTGTCACAGTATTGTTTGTACTGGACAGCAGGTTTAGCTGTGCAGTCTGAGCACACTGAACTCTAGCTGATGTTTCTTAGATGTTTTCAAGACAAATATACCATTTAGTACAAAATATTGAGCTGAAGAGTAATTTCATAAACACAATTGTACAAAAATATGTATTTATTTGAATGAAGTTTTATATTTCCTGATGAGAAGTAGCAGGAAGTTTGAATGACAGTCGAATGGCTTAATGGTACATGTTCTTGTTTTTAGTTTTCTACATCACCTTACAACCTAGCTGTTTTTTGTTACATATTTTTATATTTTATTTTTACTTGTTATTCTCAATTTGTATGCATCCTTTTATGATTGTCTGTTTTGTCTTTGTTGTCCACTGTTGTCATCACTCTGGTAGAATCAGGTCTCTCTTGTAAATGACTCCCTGAGACTCAGTGTGATTAACTTGTGTAAATAAAAGGTTGAATGAATGGGTGTTTTGGAACCAGTGGTTATCCAGAGCTAATCATCTACAGGCACCGCTGCATCGGCTTGTCTTCGGACACCAAATTACTTTTTTTAGCTTTTATATTAACCCAAGCTGTACCAGAATTAATGAGTGTAAGGATCTGGGCTTTTGGTTAGGTTGTGGGAGTTCTTTGTTTATGGTTTGTTTTCTTTAGTTATCATGTTTGTTTTCTGTGTTTTATGATTCTGGTGTTTAGTTCAGTTTCTTGTGTTTTCATCTGAATCGTCTTTGTGTTCGTTTCAATCAACCCCTTCTCCTTCAGTCAGTACTTTTCCAGTCACCTGCCACACCCAGTTTCACCTGTCCTCTGTCTCATCAGTCTAAATCTTAAAGTTTAATGGTTTTTGTTTTTTAGCTCCTTGTGTTTGTCTTTATTCATGGCTACAATCCTCTAAAACCAGAATCTTTATGGAGGTGCTTTCACTTTAATAATATCAACTAGTACTTTGTACAAAGAGGGAGAATAATGGACAGAGTTGGCTGGGGGATTGAGTTTAAGTACCCCAGATTGGGTCTGTTTAGCTAATACGAACAGTAGTACCATCATATGTCAAGATATTTTTAACATGAGCTTTTCCATCAGGAGCTAAAAGTATGTTGCATCACCATCATCATCATCATCATCATCGTTGTGTCATATGTTGTAACAGGAATGATTCATTCCAATTGCAATGATCAGTCCTGGTTCTCAGTTACATTTAAGTTTTCATGACAAGAAATCTATGATTTAAATATTTTTTTTTAACTTCCTGTAGCTGTCTAACCAGTTGTGTAGTCTACATTTTTGTAGTGGGTATACTGTGCTTAGAAACCAAAGTACACCGGTTAGTACAATGTAATCATTAATTTATTTAGATTTTTAAACATATTGAACATTTCCACAGTTCTTTGATGCTTATATTTGAATAAATGAACAACAAACTTTGTACAACAGTTGGCTTTGTATTAAACATATTATAGAATGTATAAAACAAAGCAAAACATGTTCGAGTATTTAGCAGTAAGTACAGAATTATACAATAATTCGCTGGATAAGCAAATGTAATAAACAAACGCTGATAGGTTGTTATGGAAGTATTTAACTGCCGTTTAACGTATCAGTGACACGTACCTAATGATATGTCATGTATCATTGGGCAATTTTAAATGTGTATAATGAAATTATTAAGCTTTTCTAGTGAATACCCCATGCATGAAGCTGTTTCTGAACTGGAGAGCTCGTTCAGTGACAGATTACTGCGTCCTAAATGCACAAAGGAGCGTTACCGCAGGTCCTTCCTCCCAGCAGCTGTTAGACTCTACAACCATCACTGCTCCCAACAAACTCAATAAGGATTAAATACATGCTGACCTCTGCTAAAACACACACTCTGCCTGTAATACTGAACTGTAAATAGTCTGTCCTTATCAATGTTCCAATACATATTGAACATTATTATTGATATTGTTTATCTTATTTCTTTATTTATTGTTTTTAACATTTTAGGAACTTCTTGTGTGAATCTTTTTATCTGTTGCTGCTGTTACACTGAATTTCCCATCCGTGGGACAATAAAGGCTGTTTCTATTCTACAAAGTATTCTATTCTATTCTATACCCATGTATCACACAGACTACACCACTGTGTCTAACAGTTGGAGTCACTGTGTTCACATACTGTCTATTTATTGAACAAGATGAATGGATTCATGACCAGACAGGATATAAAATTAGTGCTGGAACGACAGAGATGCTGGTTCTGTTTCAGCTTTCACTATTGGGTTCCTGAGGGATGACTAGATTTTATCTAGGGTCAATTAATCACGAAACTGTGATAGTTCTATCTTTAAAAAAAAAAAAACTTTATGGACTGACTTTATAAATTGGCCACCATCTGTCCTGATTTCTAAAGACTTGCATTAGCCCTTCAAAAATAACTATTAGTCAAACTCAAAATTATAAGTTTGTTTTTATGAAGAAAATCAGTGAATATTGTGTGATTGTGTCCATTTAGCTGCTCTAGGTTTTTTTTTTTTTTTCAAATGAAAGTCTGCTTTCAAAAAAAGGTCTTAAGTTGCAATAGTTGAAAGCATATGTATAAAGTTACATTTGCATTCTGCTTCTTGGCAGCCCCTCAACACCAATATTTACTACAGTTGCTGTTTTAGTGTTTTAAATAAAATGTAGAGTCCATCTATTTATTTAACTGTCACAGAATGAATATCCATTGAAACCCAAACACTCTCTTGTGTTTGGTCTTTACATTCAGTTTATTCTCATCAAATGCTCCAGGGTGTTAAACTGCACCTTCACGCTGGTTTCTCTCCTCAGTGAGTGATCCTACTGAGAGAAATCCTGCTGGTTTGTTTGCCAGCAGTGGAAAAGGACAAAGCTGACAGAGTTTAGTCCCTGGATTACTGAGCAGACTTAACATGCCCATAATCGTGTTGCCTCTTCTTTGTTTTTTAGTTTGTGTCAATTGATGAGAACAATATGAGCAGGCCCAGGCCTCTGATGAACGTGTGTTTGGATCAAATTTTTATAAATCCAAGAAGAAAAAGAAAGCGAGACCAAGCAGAGACGCAGTGATGATGCTCACGTCGAGCTCCCTGCAGCGGACAGATGTGAGCGTGTGAACGCACACTTGTGAGGGAACTGAAGAGTCACTAACAGTCTGTTCTCTGTGCGGATGAGTCACAGCTCATTACTGTTAATCTCTGTGAAGTTTTCACTCCTCTGACCAACTTTCTCTCGAGGACTTACAGTCTGATGCTTCTTATCGCCACTCACACATCTGGGAAGTGAATTCATCAACCTTTAGAGGAGGCGTTCAGGTGTAGTTTAGAGTTTACAGAGAGCACAGGAGTCCGACTCGTGACCTTTTTCCTGTGCCAGTTCCAATTTCTCTCCAAAACAAACATTTTGAACACAGGCCTACGTGAAATGTGTTCGATCAAAACACAAGGACTTACACAAACAAGGCTTCAAAATATTTTCTTTAAAAATACGTTCCTTTTTTTAATTAGACATTTAAATGTGCTTGTAACTTTTACTGTTATTTGTTTGTTGGGTTGAATGTGTAGTTTATGAAGTTTAAATTGCACAGAAATACTTAAAAAGGACCTTTGAGTGTCATTTCCTCATGATGTCTATGATTTTAATCTGTCAGAAATGTTGTTTGATATGTAGAACCACACCACCTCTCAGAGAGAAACACCATTACTGTTTTGTGTTTGAAACTGTTAAAATAAGATATTCGTCCATTCTGTGGGAACAGACATCATATTTTATAAATATTCTTCGTCTCAGCTCACAAACGTTCGAAGTTGACACTAACGTAATAAAAAGCTGTTATTGTGTTAACCTTTAAAGCCCAGTATGAATTCACTAAACCAATGCCTGCTTATGAAACAGAGATCTTTGTTCTAATGTGTTCAACATAATGGTACTTCCTCCAGTTATTTAATAGTCAACTATGGTGTACCACAAGGCTCAGTCTTAGGACCCACCCTCTTTACAATCTACATAGGTAATGTAGGTCAGAACATCACTGATGCATCCTTGCATTTCTATGCTGATGACTATATAATAATACTTTGTATAATAATACTTTATTTGTATAGCACCTTTCAACAAATGTTACAAAGTGCTTCACATTAATCAATTAAAACATCAGAAATGACATCAAGTTGTTTATTGTCGAGCTAAAACAGTTGCTAAGGCTTTCCAGCTTTTGCAGTCTGATTTCGACATCATCCAGTCAGATTTGTTCCGCCTCAAACTTGTACTAAACGCCGACAAAACCAAAGGATGCTTTTTTTCAAACAGGAAGTTGGTCCCAGCAGTTCTTACTCTGATTTTATTCTCAAATGGTGTCCCTATTGAGTTTGTCAATTCCTACAAATATTTGGGTATCTTGGTCGACTCACATCTCTTTTAAGCTCCACGTGGAAAACCTAGTAAGGAAACTGAAAGTGAAACTGGGTTTATTTTTCAGAAACAGATCCTGTCTAACTCTGAATGCTAGGAAACGCCTTGTATCTGTGACTTTCCTTCCCTCCATTGATTACGGTGACATTATTTACATAAACGCTCCTACAAGAACCCTGCAGATGTTGGATGCTGTCTATCATGGTGCAATGAGATTCATAACTGGCTGTAAATACCGTACCCACCACTGCACCCTGTATTCCACTGATTAAGTGGTCATCATTATGTTCACATAGACTCTCTCACTGGTACAGTTTCATC